TCCGGGATGAGTGGTGCTGACTGGCGGGGGCAGGACACTAGGGCAAGGCACAGAGGTTGAAATTGACTCCAGATTTCTTGTTTATGCCTGGACAGCTGTGAGGAGGCGGTGCCCACGACAGTGATGACAACACAAGGGTGGGGGAGAAGGGCAGCCCCTTTGGCAGTGGTCTCTTTGCTGTAAGCAGAGGTCACTCCAGACACACTACCCAGTTCTTCCTACTAAAATTGGATGAACAGGGAGGTACACAGAGCAGATCTGGGCCAGAGATCAAGACAGGATACCCTCTTTTCAGGATCACTTCATCTCAGTGTTCTGGGGCAATCGAAGCCCTGATTTGGAAGGACTCTGACAAAGTACACAATGAACAATGACTGTGCTAGCTCCCTCTGAAGGTTCGAACGGGCCAGTGGAGCTCAAATGCATGTATTAAAAAATGATAATTGAGTTACTACAATAATACAGTATCATATGATTTTATAGGATGGGTCAACTTAAAATTTCACCAGTTCTGTCTTCTGTCAGTGTTAAAGTTTGTATCTTTACAGTTCTTATGTTATAGCCATTGATACTACGGTCAAATAGGCAGGTGCCCACTAGAGAAAAATTATGCCAGAGAATAAGAAATGATTCAGGTTTTTTTTCTTTAGTATTTTTATCAGGTATGTTACTCCTTGGAGAATGTAGAAAATATTTGTTTAAAATATTCCTAATTTGATGGTACTTTCAAAATCTGATTTAGTCAGACCATTAAAAATTGTACAAATCAATAGCAGTTACCTACTTTTAACTGAATCATTATCCCTGAAGAAAAGTGCTGTTAGAACACTGTAGACTTCAGGTCATCTGCAATATACCTCCACTCTCATAAAAAAGAAATAACAAAAGGAAAAAATAAAGGGAAACATAAAAACCAAAATAAAAGGAACAGCTCATTTTATTTTATTATGTTAATCTAATTCCCAGGTAGAAAGAATGACCTTCTGTTGTACTTCGATGTTTAAAATCTGGCCAATGTTTAATGTTTACAAAATTATTTTTAATTTTAAGAGAGTATAATTTACCAATTAGATTAATTGTGTTTATTACTGCCGGGAGACTGCAAAGAGTCTTATTTTTAGTTCGTAACAGAAGCTTCTGTAACCCTTTGGATCATGGCTGGGATTGTGCATTTTTATTATAGCAAGAGAGCTTTGATGCTTGGATGTGTTAGGGAAGGATAGCCATATCAGAACGTTTCATTGAGCCATCTCTCCCTACTTGTTAATTTGGCACCTCTCAATCATACATTTTTTAAAACGCTCATTATTTCACATAACATATAAATTTATATAGCATCTTATATACAGTTTTAATGCATTCAGACTCCTAAAGCTATAATTCATTGTAGCATTTTATTTTATTTACATTAATATATGTGCCTTGAGTTAATACTCTAATCATTTGCAAACTCAAGCTTTGTCTTGATAAATTTTTACTTTTTGACAAATTATACTACATTAGTTTGATATATTTGCAAAATGTAATTACCTGTCTTTCCCATTTCACTTTTGTTGCTATTCCCAAAACACTGGGACATTGCTAGTCTAACAGGTATATTGAGGACCAGCATCTCCTCAAGTCTGCACAAAAACATTTTTACAATGTCATTATCTAAAGTGTTCAATTTTCAATTATTTGGAATGTGCCTTCTGCAAGCCAATTTTTTTTTTTTTTTTTTTTTTTTTTTTGAGACAGAGTTTCACTCTTGTTGCCCAGGCTGGAGTGCAATGGTGTGATCTCGGCTCACTGCAATCTGCAACTCCCTGGTTCAAGTGATTCTCCTGCTTTTAGCCTCCCGAGTAGCTGGGACTACAGGGGCACACCACCATGCCTGGCTAATTTTTGTAGTTTTAGTAGAGACGGGGTTTCACCATGTTGGCCAGAGTGAAACGCTAGGTTGAACTTCTAACCTCAAGTGATCTGCCCGCCTGGGCCTCCCAAAGTGCTGGGATTACAGGCATGCATCATGGCTCACGGTCAAGCCATTTGTTTTTATAGGATGCTGCTACTTGACCAAGTTTGAATATGCTTTCATTCAATTATGCTGATATTTATGTACTATAAAGAGCTGATTTTATATTATAATGTATTTTTGTTGTTGTTGTTTTTGTTTTATGAGACAGGGTCTCACCCTGTCACCCAGGCTGGAGTTTAGTGGTGCTATCATAGCTCACTGCAGCCTCAACTTCCTGGGTTCAGGTGATGGTCCCATCTCAGCCTCCCAAGTAGCTGGGACTACAGGCACACATCATCATATGTGGCTAATTTTTTATAGAGATGGGGTTTTGCCATGTTTCCCAGGCTAGTCTTGAACTCCTGGGCTCAAGCAATCTGCCTGCCCTGGCCTCCCAAAGCTGGAATTACAGGTGTGAGCTACCATGCCCGGCCTATAATGTCTTTCTAATAATATTTAAAGTGTATTTTCATACTGCCCATGAAAACAATTATGTGAAATGGTTATTTGGAATAAATATACAAGAAATGTTTTATATATGTTACAGAAATTTTTAAAAATTGCCTTGAAGGGAATGGCACTAGGGCTGGATTAATTTACAACATGAATTCCCCCTTTTTTGGTGTGTTGGTTCATGCAAATGAGGAGACAGTCAGGAGATCATATAGTATCAAAGTGTAGAAGGGGTGTGGCTTTATGGGATGTGGTCACTGCCCCTTGAGACTGAGTCAGGTATATTGAAATTACCGTCCAGAGATTTCCTCTTCCTTAATATTTATCTTCCTGACTTAAAAACATAAAAACTTGCAAGTTGTGTTTGTGCCAGCACCATTGAGAACTGCTACTTTACTGTGACCTTAAAATGGGTTCTTATGTCTATTTATCAATTAATTAGAACCCAAAGGGAAAAAGTGGGTGCATAGTAAGAAAGAAAAACTTCTCTTACCAAACTTCCATTGTAGGTTTGTGCACACAATTGATTATTATGTCTAACAATCATTACTCATGCAAGTTTGTATCCTTTCCATTCTTATTGAAATTTAGGAGGTTTATATTAGGTACCACTTGCTGTAGCCATCTTTACACCCCAAACAAGCCCATATTTCCTATGCTGAATGATGCTATTTGTTGGGTAATGGGAGAAGTCAGCATGACTAGGGCGAAGGGTGTCTGCTGGGGAGGATGGAGAAGTAGGGCTGTGGGCTGAGGGTGAGTTTATGTTGGGGCTTGCCAGCTGAGCAGAGAGATTGCAGCTGATGCAGTAGGAAAGAGGAGCCATGGAGCTTTGGGGCAGATGGTAGCAGAACTGGGTGTAAGGGATTTTTCCTGGCATGGATTAGAGAGGAGAAAAGCCAGAGCCAGGAAGATAAGTAAAGAAAAGAAATTCTGGCCAGGTGCAGTGGCTCACGCCTGTCATCCCAGCACTTTGGGAGGCCAAGGCAGGTGGATTGCCTGAGGTCAGGGGTTCAAGACCAGCCTGGCTAACATTCTGAAACCCCGTCTCTACTAAAAATACAAAAAATTGTGGCAGGTGCCTGTAATCCCAGCTACTCAGGAGGCTGAGTCAGGAGAATCCCTTGAACCTGGGAGGCAGAGGTTGCAGTGAGCCGAGATCGTGCCATTGAACTACAGCCTGGTCCACAAGAACAGAACTCTGTCTCAAAAAAAAGAAAAGAAATTCTTTTGCTGTGAGTTTTATGACGCCAATCTCAAATACAAGAGCCAGAAACCGTATCTTCTAAAATCATGTTCCCTCTACACCCTGATAGCATAAAAAATTCCTCATTTTTTATTCATTCTGCATGAGCCAACACAAAAAAGAGCTATTGGTGTCATTGGTGGGAGCAGCAATACCATAAATTTCTTCAAAGACAGACACCAGGACTTTCATCTTCACATCTGTAGTCCTTGGAATATAGTAGGTCTTACAAAAACATTTATCAAGGGAGTGAATGAAAATAAAAGTGAATGAAAATGAAAGCAACATATACTTGAGGATATAATTTTTCTTGGACCACAAGTAAAATGCCAATGGATAACTTCAGATTTCTAGCCATGCATCTTTTCCTCTGAGAACCAGATAGCTGGAATAACAGACCACTCCATTTCCTTTCTGACATGCCACATTGAATGAACATCTGCTAAGAACCAGAAAGTGCATGAAGAAGTTTGTCCATGAAATCACTCCATACCCAAGTGGAGGAGAAGCAGCTGTGGACTGAAGGTAAGCTGTGCATTTCCTCAACTGGCAAATGTCAAGCCCATAATCTGAGCTTCGTATGTAGGAAATACCTACACATGAAGCCCATCTAGGTATTTCGTCATGCAGTGAGAAATACACCAGTATGGGGACCTATGAAAAAAGCCTGCCATAACTCTGATAATGATTTATTTTCAAAGGCAGAAGAAAATTTTAGAAAACATATACATAAGATACATGACAGCAAGTTTATACATTCAGAAATGTCAGTAGATTAAAAATCAAAGAAATAGGATGGCAGTACCAATGTCTCACAGCCCTCCAGAGGAGCTGTGACTACAGCCAAAAGTCAGAGCAAAATGTGGAAAATCACTGACAGACTGGGACCATAGGCAGGAAGTCTTGAAGGACTGGGTTAAGCAAAGGCAGAACTGGAGGGCAGGATGCCTGTTGAGAAGACCTGATCTAACCATGGCTACACTGGAGACGCCCCCGGAGGAGTTATGGAGTGAAAGTTAAGGGACCTGAGCCAAAGTGTGCCAAGTCCAGAGGCTTATGAATAGGAACCAACTCTTCCTTGGTATTAAAGGGGCAGCCCTCTGGGCTGGTTGGGTGACTTTTATCCAACTGCCCTAGACCTGACCACTTACTACTGAACATATTTTTAAGGATCTCTTTAAATCTATACCTCTTTTTTAGAGGGCCCATTTCCTAGTGGAGGCAGTGCAGCAGAACAAATAATGAAACAGTTGAATTCTGCTTCATCCATGCCTGCCAAGCCACAAGAATGGTAAAGATACTCACGTTCCACAAAGTACGAGCTGGCATCGATCTTCCAGATGATCTGGCCCCGATGAGAACCATTGACTCCACGGTTCTTATAGTCCAGAAAGTTTTCGGACAAGACCTCATCTGTATTCCCAGAGGAAGAAAGCAGAGCAGAGAAACATATCAGTCAACAGCATATTTGGGGAAATAAAAGAAAACAAGCAAAGGATACAAATGCTGCTTCCATCTCAACAGGAGAGGAAGCACCTGGAATCAGAGAGCAGGAAGCATCCCAAGACGCCACTGGGATCAAACGCTTTTTATGCAGGGATCTCCTCCCAACCCCATAGCACTCCTGGCAGGAGATCATCTAGCTGGTTCTGGAACACCTCCAGAAACAGAGAAATAATTACCGCTATTGCGGTTCACTTCACTTTTAAATAGCTCTTCCATGTGTGAAAGCTCAGTGTGAAAATCTTCCTTCTTAAGCTTCTATGAACCAATTTGAGACTGAGGGCGAGACATAAAGAAAGTTTCCATTTGGGGTCTGGTTCTCATGGACTCCACCTCGAATCGTCTCTCCTCCCACCTGGGCATCACCACCATCCTACATATGGTTGCACCCATGAACTTATCCATCCATCCATCATGCACTCATGCATTCATTGTTCATTCAGCAGCTGAAATCCAACCATCTGCCAGATGCTGGGAAAGGTGCAGGGGCTGTGGTGTTGGGCAAAACCAGTATGGTCTCTTCTGAACCAAAGCTTACAAACAATTGAGAAGACAGACTGTAAACACTAAGCAAAGGAATAAATGTTTGATTGTAACATGTGATAAGAGATGGAAAGGAGGCCGGGCGCGGTGGCTCACACCTGTAATCCCAGCACTTTGAGAGGCCGAGGTGGGCAGATCACCTGAGGTCAGGAGTTTGAGACCAGCCTGGCCAACATGGTGAAACACCCGTTTCCAATTAAAAAAAGAAAAAAATTATAAAAATTAGCCAGGCGTGGTGGCAGGCACCTGTAATCTCAGGTATTTGGGAGGTTGAGGCAGGAGAATTGCTTGAACCCGGGAGGTGGAGGTTGCAGTGAACCGAGATCATGTCCAGCCTGTTTACAGGGCGAGACTCTGTCTCGTCAAAATAAAAAAATAAAAAAAAAAAAAAGAAAGAAAGGAAAAGAACAGGGTGCTGTGATAGAGAGTGACAAGGAAGGAGGCCGGGGGGTGGGGTGGGGGGTGGTCAGGAGAGCGCTGAGGGAGGAGACGAGGCCTGGGAGGATCTCTGGGTGACTGTATGCTTTCACCTCTTGCTGTTCTCTGCTCATCACTTTGCAACCCATCGATGTCCTCTTTAAAACCAGTGCCCAGAGAGAAATGCAGCATTCTTGGGGAGGACAGATCTGAGAATACTAAGCTGCCTGTCACTTTCTTGGTTCCAGACCCCACACTTTCAGTGCAGACTAAGACATGGATATGACTTTTACCCTGATCTTCTATGGAGCCCTTGTAGTTTCCACTTCACCAGAAATAACTTGAGCTAGATGGATCTGAGGCTATGGGGAAAACCAAGTTTTGAGAGTCCAAATCCATTGTAGGGGTTGGAGGGACAACCTGGTCAAGGCCACCTGAGGGCAGGCCCAGAGCTCCAGCTCTGCAGAGAGCCCTTTTCATGATTGCCCTTTTCTCTCCTGATACCCTGTGGTTCACATGCTGCATCTGGCTGGACTGAGAAAACAGGCAGAGATGAAGTGCAAAAACCACTGAGCTTGAAGCCAAAGGGCCCAGCTCTTGAGGCCTTTTGTGCCATTTGCCAACAGTGTCACTTCTACAGTCTTTCCTCATCTGCAAAGTGGGGAGTAGTAATAACTTCAGTCTTACAGGGGAGCACTAAATGAGATAACTGTAAGCATACTTGTAATCTGCTATGTGGATTGCACATTTTAGGCTGCCCCTTCTCTGGCAAAAAAAATGACTGGGCAAATGAACACTCATTACTGATAAGAACTGTTTGTATCCTTTGGAAAATCACTTGTTTGCAAAATTTGCCTGTCTTTTTATTCACAGTGTGTGCTCACAGCCCTGTTTGGGTTACCAAGAAGATTGAATAATACATCTTTTACAGTAATTGCCTCATTTCTGCAAAAAGGCGTAATATTTTGCTAGCTCCCTGGGTCTTCAGCACAGATTTAACAAGTCTCACACCCAGGTAGAAATTTGCCTCATTATAGCAGTTCTCCAAGGGATGGTATTTCCCTGAATTTCTCCACTCTGACCACTGGGATATTCCCTTTAATGGTCATGGTGGGATTTATAGACAATAACACCTGGGAGAAGGATGTTCATTCATGCATGAGATAATGGGTATTGAGTACTTTGTTCTGTTCCAGACATTATGCTAAACCCTGGGGATACACGGGTGAACAAGACGCGGTCTGTGTTCTCAGGGAGTTTCTAAAATATTTGGAGATTTATTCAAGAAAACAGGTAATTTCATTAGAATATAGAATGTACAAAAGGGGATTAATTATCAAGGAACCACAGGAACATGAATGAGAAAAGGATGAAGGGGAGGTGGGAAGAATCAGAAAAGGATGATGAGGATGGCAAAACACACACACACATACACACATTAATGAGAAAACCATATTTTGCTGTAGACATTTAAACACAATACATTTTAAAGGACTGGCTACTAGTCTTGGTAAGCATCCCCTTCCCTCACACTAACAATAACATTTAATCACAAATATCATGCAAGAAAAACAGAATAGTCTGTATTCTTGCCTGGGCCATCTGGGCTGAGAGGTCAAACCCTTCCCCAGAGGCATTTGTTACCAGTTGTTAGAAAAGTTACTAGTCTTTGCTTAGGAATCAAAATGCATTGACAGGGTCAATTGCAGGAAACCAAAATCAGTCTACATATTTTATGCAGAAAGGGATTTAATGCAGGGAATTCAGGGCTGGAGAAGTGGACTCTAGGCAGGGCCTCTGGAATCAAGATAACTGCCTAACTGGCTCTCCAACAAGGCTGATGCCTTTGTCTCACTCACAAGGGCTGCCCTGGGACCTGCTGAATATGACTGCTCAGTACAGTCACTGCAATCTGGAGAGCAGAAGGCTTCTGTCCAGGCCATGGCGGCTGCCTCTCCACCCGCGAAGACAGTGACCAGCCAGTGGCAAGCGGAGTAGGTCACTGCCTGCCCCCACCTCCACTGCCTGTTGGTGTCCAGGAAGCTAGAGAGTAGACTCGGGACGCTGCTGCAGAAAAGCTCCATTTCTCATGGCCATGCTTGTAGCAGCCACAGGCCCAAGAGCAGGATCCCCACATTTCACATATTCACCTTCCGGATCTTGCATGGGTGCAGCTAAATGAATCGAATTTGCATCCAGAACGTGGTTGCACAGGAGTCTGGGAAATGTAAATTTAGAGGATCAGATTCTGCACTAGGGGAAGGCACAGGAGATGAGAGAAGAGAGGAGAGAAGAGGGGAGGAGATGGGAGGGGAGAGGAGAGGAGGGGAGGGGAGGGGAAGGAAGGGGAGGGAGAGGAAGGAAGGGGAGGGAAGGGGAGGGGAGAGGAGAGGAGAAGGGGGAGGGGAGGGGAGGAGAGAGGAGGGGAGAGGAGAACTGGAATGGATGCTGTGGGCCAAGCCACACTCTCCACATCAGTGTGGAATGGGTGCTCTGGGCTCTCTACCAGGAGGCTGTTATTTTCTGCATTCTTGTCATGATGGAAGCCTCTTTGTGGGAGCAATATTACATCCCCTTTGAGGCAGGAAGCTTACATCTACCATTACTATGTGATCTTAGGCAGTTGATTTAATCATTCACTACAAAATGGGGATTAAATACTATAAGTACCTACCTCAAAATCTTGTTGAAAGGATTCCTTGAGCTAATACAGCTAGTGATCTTAGACCGGTGTCCAACATCTAATAAGCAGCTATTTCTGCTTAGAATCTGGGCTAAAAATAGGGCCCTCTATTGCAAATCCCTGTGATACTTACTATGTAAAACCATTAATAATAACTTGAAGCACTAACTCACATCAGTACTGTTTAAGATTTTGTCATTGTACATTTTGTACAGAACATGCAGAGATCAGTTCCTCAAGAAAAGATTATATTTTCTGAGTGGTATGCATTTCCTCTGTTGTGTAGAATCCTACCACCTGCTCCTCATTTTATAATAGAGAAAGGAAAAGGATCTTTGTGGATTATTAAAATTTTAATCAGAAAGTTCTAATGAGGCTTACAGAAACAGACATACTTAAGAAACAAGTAATATATTTTCTCTTGATTTGTCTTCAAAATAAAAATTGTAGCTATGGTTTCCATGCCACAATCTATAATAGAAGAGTGGATAACAAACACGCTATTGCTGTTAGGAGTGGAATAAGCAAGTGAGCCTATAACTGATTAAAAGAGAGAATCAATATACTACCCAGGTCTCCTACATCCATCAGAAAAAAGATATGGCTTCCATTTTTCAGAGTAATTCAGGCTTTCGGACAACCAAATCTTGGGAAAAAATCTCTGAGGATTCTCCCACTGTGGCTGGACCATGACTTCACTAAATAATGGGACAGAGCTGGGTGCGGTGGCTCACTCCTTTAATCCCAGGAGTTTGGGAGGCTGAGGTGGGTGGATCACCTAAGGTCTGGAGTTTGAGACCAGCCTGGCCAACATGATGAAACCCCATCTCTACTAAAAGCAGAAAAATTAGCCAGGGGTGGTGGTGCATGCCTGTAATCCCAGCTACTTGAGAGGCTGAGTCAGAAGAATCGCTTGAACCTGGGAGGCGGAGGTTGCAGTGAGCTGGGATCATGCCATTGTACTCCAGCCTGGGCAACAGAGCGAGACTCCATCTCAAAATAATGATGATGATGATAATAATAATAATGGGATGGGAGATATGGGGAGAATCTACTTGTTTTTCTTACTACTAAGCCAATGATGTAGAAGCTCCATTCTCTTGTAGAAGCAGGGACTCTAAGCATAAAGTGATAGAGGAGCTCCTAAAAATCAATACCACTTTCTCCCCTTCTGTGGCCTTTCCTTCACATTGTTTCTTTGGACACACGAATTCTGTTTGTGCCTTAACTGAGAAATACAGCTTCTGCTCTTCTAGATTCTAATAGGGTGCCTGATGTAAAGGAAAAACTTTAATTCTTCAAGAGTTGGGTTCCATAAATCAGCAGCCACACTTCACCCTCCACATCCAGGTATCTTCCCCCTCTTATGGCAGAACAGTCCTTTTGCTTTGAGAGCTCTAGAAGTCCTACCGTGCTGAAAGCATCACAACCCCGGCCTCCCCTGGACATTTGATGGCACACTGATGTGCCATGGCCCATACCCAACACTGCACCACAATGCTGCGCTAGTCCTGTGGCAGCATGAGTCTTGAGCCAGGGGAGGCAGCTGTGCAACTGTGGGAGCCACTGACTTGACATCTCCTCATTCATGAAATGACAGATGAGATGAAATCACTGTCTCTACATTTCTCGGCCTAGAACTCTGATTTGATCTCTGGCAAAGCACGGCAAATGTGGAAGATAAGCTACTAAGGACTTACACATTATTGACTTTTAAGATTCACAGACAATTTCGGATTTGGAAGTTATTTTTGAAATGCTATGCCATTGAAAGTGTTGGCATTTTGCATTACATAACTTCACAGTTATATATGTGTAGCTACAATGAGAATAACAAACTGTCAAATTAAGGTTCTAGAATGATGAGTTGTGGTTACTTTTATCTCAGTCAAAATGTCATGTTAACACCAGATCTTATTCATTCATGGAGTTTCGTAATACCTGATACAGCTACCCACCCCCTCCTCTATCTCCCTCTTCTTTTGTTCTCTCCAGTCTCCTGGTTGTCCTGCCTCTTCACCACCTCCTCCTCTTCTGTTTGAGTTCCTCGTCTGCCTCTCCCCTGCCCCTCTCTGACTGTGACTATCTGGTGCTCTCTTTCTGTACACAGCACTAGAGTGAGCTTATCCACCCCCAAGATGTCTGTTACCCCAAATCTACAACCCTAGTTTGGATCCCTGGCTGAGCTTCAGACCCATTCATTCATTCACTGTGGATGCACGTCCCTCAGGTGTCCCACACTCAGTAATTCCATCTTGAGCTCATTACCTTCTCCCCAAACAGGCTTCTCTTCCAGTGGGTCCCTAACTTGAGGAATAGCATCGGCACTCATCAGCTGCGGGAAGATGCCCTTGTAAGGAGACGACTCAAAACTAGATCTGGGCTGGGCATGGTGGCTCATGCCTGTAATCTCAGCATTTTGGGAGGCTGAGGCTGAAGGATCACTTGAGCCCAGGAGTTTGAGCCTGGGCAATATAATGAGACTCCATCTCAATAAAAAACCAAACCAAAACAAACCAAAAAACAAACCAAAACCAAAACCAAATCAAACCAAACCAAAACCCTAGATTCAGAACCTAAACCTAATTACCTCAAGTGCTAAACAAAAAACATTCATGATGAAGGTCAGAATGGGTGGGAGGGGACTGTGGCAACACTGAAGGTCACAGGCCAGCCTAGGGAGGGTCCAGATGCTTAACTCCAGCTGATTAGAACCATATAGTATCACAGGCTTAGACTGCCAAATTGGAGGCTTTTGTGAAAGAAGCTAGAAAGTTGGGTTTCAACTTGAAACTTCTACATTTTAAGTGTGGATAATCAAATTTAAAACAAAACAATGTAAATGAAACAAAATATGCGGCCGGGGGCAGTGGCTCACACCTGTAATCCCAGCACTATGGGAAGCTGAGGCGGGTGTATCACCTGAGGTCAGGAGTTTGAGACTAGCCTGACCAACATGGAGAAACCCCATCTCTACTAAAAATACAAAACTAGCCAGGTGTGGTGGCACATGCCTGTAATCCCAGCTACTTGGGAGGCTGAGGCAGGAGAATCACTTGAACCCGGGAGGCAGAGGTTGCGGTGAGCTGAGATCGTGCCATTGCACTCCAGCCTGGGCAACAAGAGTGAAACTCTGTCTCACAAAAAACAACAACAACAACAACAACAAAAAATGCTCGTTGGGCTGTTATTTTGCAATCTCTGTTCTTGACAGATAGTATCTATTTTTATTCAAGAACAATTTTTGTTTGTCAGGAACAAATTGAATTTTAACTTTTGGAAATCCAGTTTAGCTAGTCACAGCTGTTTGTGTAAAAATTTCAACAATGTATGCATCTCCATCTTTACATTAATGTGTGTATTATAAACACACTAACCAAGCTGATGGAAAAACCTTTAAGAGACCCAAGAATATTTCCCTGAGAACTAGTTAGTCAGATAAGATCCCCTTTATTTTATCAGAAAAACTGTCCAGGTTGTAAACTACTCATAACAATCCATTACTTTGTGTGATGTTAAATCCGGTGTTGTGTGTCTGAATGTGCAAATGTTGCAGAGCACAGCCTGAAGGCAGAAGGCCTGGCCTCGGATGGACCTGGTGTTGAATCTGTTGACCCTTGTGGCCTTCCAGCAATTATAACTTGACTTTTGGGTAAACACATCAATTTCCATGACAGCTGATTCTATCACATAAAATAGATGAAATACATTTTTCATTTAAATTGGTTTTCATAATTACAAGATTTCCAAAACCAATCCATGGGAATGGTGAAACTTTCATAAAAATAATTGCCTCAGTATCCAACTTATTTGCATAACTTTTTTTTTTTGCAAAGACTTGAGAAAATTCACACAGAACAATTTCTTCTGGTGAACTTTCAACTTTGGCACTTTCAAAATTTTTAATACATCTCCACCTAAAGTAAGGCAAGTCAGCTTTCTCCAGCACCATGCCTGTATGCCTGTATGTATAATCCCAGCTTGTCTGTTGAATACAAAGCAGTAAGAATGTTGGAAGAGCTGGTGAAGATTATGCTGGAAACTGAAGTGAAATGACCTCCATGTAGGTGTGTTTACATTGGTTGGGCATATGGTGTTACTTTGTCTTATAAGCACATAGATTTAAAAACAGGCTTTGATATTAACTTATTCACAAGTAGAAGAGCTTCTATAGTTGCAAATGATAATGATGTTTGTGTTTAACCACACCTCACTCTGCTATATCTCATGATTTTCTTTCATGGAATAGAGATGGCAAGAGAGGCCTTATTATCCATTTTGCAGAAAAACAAGGTCATGCAATAGTGGTCTTCAGTGTGTTAGAATCTGGCATATAACACAGTTGCTTGTATATTTTAATTATATTGTAGATTTATTACAATGTGACAGCATACGTAAAAGTGAATTATGAATAATACACTTGGCACATTCTACTCACCAATGAGGTACATGCCAATCCAGTCCCCAGCGTCCACCTCCTCCTTTATGTCCCAGTGGATGACCAGGTCCTGAGAGTGCCCGATGGAGTAGTAGGAGCTGCTGACCATGAGCGTGGAGCGGCTGTCCGAGGTGACCAGGTCGGTGTCGCTGGTGGAGCGGGGAATGGTGACGCCATCATGGGGGCCGCCCCTGAGGTCCATGTTGTGGAACTGGTCGGGATTGTAGCTGTATCGGAGTGGCTCCTTGCACCGGCGTCGGCTCTGGGAGTTTCTAGAAGGAGACGCCATGGCGGCCAGGCCTAAAAACCTGTTCTGGTACAGATTCTGTGGGAGCAAACAGACAGTGAGCAGGGTCAGGGCACGCCGGCCACTCAGTTGCTGTCATCACAGGAAAATGAAATATGTGCTGGGAGACACGCGCTGTGAGTGAGCTGCCCTGCTGGGCAGATCTGAAACATGGCATAGAGCATCTTCCTCGTGACAAAGGCTGCAGCTCTGGGTTCACACGGGGACAGCAAGAACAAAAACACGAGTGCACCAGAGTGTCCTGCGTTTCCATGCTCTGTTGGAGTCTCTGCCTCTCCTGGCTCTAACCCACTTGATACCAGAAGGACTGGGATGTGTAGAATGACCCTGAAGGTGTGACTATTCCTCAACCAAACACCATCCCTCGAGTTCTCCAACGTCAATTACATTGGATCTGATTTGATCCTTCTTTAAGGCAAACGACGATTACCATTATTAACCTCTGAGTGATCCCTGCAGCATTCAGGTCCCTACACACAGCCCAGAATTAGAAGTGGTCCCTGTTGGGTGAGGCAGTCACTCCTCCATTTACAATCTTTCACCCTACAGAATGCCTTCGGGCTGTATGAAGTTTCTATGAAGGATTTCAAACATCCTAGTACGCTTTGAACACCACAATTTTCAATAAAATCCAATCTCAGAGGACTGTATCTCCCTTGAGGTCAGTGTTAGTGTAGAAAACATTGATGAGAAAAAGATGCATTTTTGTATTGTTTACAACTTTGAGCATTTAAAATGAGCCAAGCTGATGCAGAGCAATAACTCGTTTTGGGCACAGATAACTCTGAAAACACAGAAGGACAGGCAGCAGATAGAACTCACGCAGAGGATTGGTTTTTGAAACAAGCAAGGGTGATTTTGACTTCATCAAAGTATACTAAAATTGCGTTTAAATGAACATTTTTGGGGGGTCCTGGTTATTGAAGTTCATGTTGTTCCATATGTAGTTTTCAAGAAGAAAAGATTAAGGCCTAAAAAAGTGTTGACTCATGAAGTTTAGATCCCAGGAACTGTAACTTATTATGCACCTAATCAAATGCAAATTGTTGACTTTTTGTTTACCAGCCATGATGAGCAGACTACAGCAACAGTGTACTCTTTGAGTTACATCAACATAATAGTTAGCGGTAATTTAGGCCTGCACTTTCTCCATCCTCTAAGACCAGGATGTTGTAAAAAGTCTATTAGCCTGAGAAAGCACAGTGTTGGCATTCTGAGTCTTGGTCCTCTATGGCCATGGGGCAGGCAGGCCCTTTCACTCATCTGTGTCTCCTGTTTGGAATTCCTTTGGCCCTACTGGTGGTTGCTGTGGAATTATGACGGGCAGGCAAGCCAGACTGCAAAAAGCATCTCATCACCCTACTGGGACCATATTTCTTATTTTTTCAAAATGCTTGTCACTATAGCAGTATGAAAATAGATGGACCATGGTGTTGCCTGGAAACCGTCCCTCCTCTCAGGAACACAGGCAAAGCGCTGAAAACCAGGGAAGCAGGAACCACCCACCTATCTCAAGGCACCATGGCTATTCTGGGCAGTTCAGGGAGGATCTCAGTAAACTGACACCCCTCCAGGAGGCGCTGACCAGAGACCTTTGTAAACTCCCCAGAACAGAAAGGCTGCTGCAACAGCACAAGGTTTGTTTAGTTCCCTTAAAATAGTGTAATAAGCGGACTTATTAGTCCACTTAAAGTAGACTAATACCATCTTATAGTATTACGGAGATTCAAAATAATTATGAGTTAGACCATAATCAAAGCTGAGGCAACACCTACCAGCTTCCCAGTTGTGGGTCTTTCCCTGGACAATTTAATCTTTCTGGACCTCGGTTTCCTCCTCTGTAAATGGGCTGTTGTCAGAATTTAATGAGACAGTGCAAGTCAAGTTCTTAGTATAGTACGTGCTCAATAAATAAAAATCTCCTGCTAAGATACTACTGGTAATGCTTTAGGAAGGAAACCTCACTGAGACATAGGGCCTGGGCACTCAGCCAGACTCCGTCGCTGAACAGGCTTCCTTCACGCCACCCCAGAGTCCTCACTCTTAAGTTCATGCATTAAATTCAAGAAACCCTCAGGTTTTCTTACAAAATCAAAGTACCAAGGGTTAAACAGCCTCGTGTATTTGTAAAGGTGCTCCATAGACCGGTGTTCAGGGGAGAGGCTCCTTTATTTGTAAGGTTTATGACTGAGTAGGATATTTCTGCATTAATGATGAAGAGCGTAAGATAAAGATTTTTATGTATGTGGTTTCCATCAGGGCCTCAAAAGGATTATAGGGTGTTTCTCTTTTGCTGAAGACAACAATTCTGCTATTGCATTTTTACTAAAATCCCCTGGAAACTAGAGAACTCTCCTGAAACTGTCAGATTACGGCAGTGATCACTGTCCACACGGCGAGAGCAAAGGTAGAGAAGGGAACATTAGTTAAAGACGACATTTGTCAGCAATTACTGGATTGGAATGATGACATTTGCCAGGGATAAGCAGGGCAGTCTCAAAGCTGTCCCTTGCACCCCACCCTCTCCCACCACCCTGTCTTTGCAAACATCCTCCCCATTCCTACTTGCAGGCAGGATCTGCACTTCCGCGTTAGAATTATGCTCCAGCACCAACTCTGCTGTAACCGCTCCTTGCCTCCTTCCCATTCCCAAAAGTGGAACTTTCTGCTCCGTGATGCACAGGAATCCCATTCCCCTGCAGGGATTCTTAGGTACTGTTGCTAGTTGATCTGTCCACGTTCACTCCTACACTGTGAAGTTTTCTCCTCTGTATATCCCCTGTACCTTGCATAATTCCTGGCACGAAAAACCCCCAAAGCTTTAATTTATAGAAATTATTTTATTCAATGATATCCCTTCTCGTTCCAGAAAGGGTTTAAGATGGCTTATAAAAATAGATAAAAAGGCTGGGAGCGATGGTTCAGGCCTGTAATCCCAGCACTTTGGGAGGCCGAGGCAGGCGGATCACCTGAGGTCAGACGTTCAAGACCAGCCTGGTCAGCATGGTGAAACCCTGTCTCTACTAAAAGTACAAAAATTAGCCGGGCATGGTGGTGGGTGCCTGTAATCGCAGCTACTTGGGAAGTTGACGCAGGAGAATCACTGGAACCTGGGAGGCGGATGTTGCAGTGAGCCAAGATTGTGCCACTGCACTCCTGGGCAACAAGAGTGAGACCCTGTCTCAAAAAAAAAGAAAAAAAAAAAAAAGAAAAAATACAGAAAGGCATGATAATTTAGTAGTAGATGGTACATAGAGAGAAGAAAATAAAGATATGAACACAAAGTTATGTAGGAAGGAGGTGAACTTAAAATTATATTCCATCATGTCCAAAACAGGTTTTTATTAAAGACTCACAACAGTTGCTCCTTTTTATTTTTAATTTCCCAGCTTTATTGAGGTATAATTGACCAATAAAATTGCATGATTTTAAGGTGTACAATGTGAAGATTATATAGACAGAAATATATAATATATATTATATATAATATGTAAGTATTGTATATACTGTATATAGTGAAATATATATTATATATATGTAATATATATAGTGAAATGATTACCACAATCAGGTTAGTTAGCACATCCATCCCTCACCTAGTTACCCCATTTTTATTTTATTTTGTTTTGGTTTGTGGTGAGCACATTTGAGCAAACATCAACAGTTGCTTCTTGAACACAGCAGGTGGATAGAGCTGATTGCTCAACATGCAATTCCTTTGTGGCTATGTTTCTCCCAGGCATTCACAAGTGTTTCTAGCATATACTATAGACTCATCAGGCTGAAAGAAGCAATTTAATCATTCTCTCTTCACATCTGAACTGTGGGAGATAGATGAAGCTCTGTCCTGTTTTTAAATAGCCCTGGATAAAAGGCCACTCTCTTCCTAGACAGTGATTCCAATGTCTTACAACTCCGCCATTCTTCCTAACCTCTAAAGCAGATCTCCCCACCAGGAGACCCCGTTTCTTTTTCCTCTCTGCAAAGGGTGGCCCTCCCGATCTCTGTATGTATGGGAAATCAGTGGATATCACTAAATTTTTCCCAGCCTTTTCTCCAACCCACTAATAACTCAAGTATCTTTTGTCTTCTTTTCCCTTTGGTGATAAACAATAGGAACTGATAGGAGGACCACAAGAATATCAGCAATAGTTTCAGTAACACTGTAATTTTCCAGTTATTGGTTGTAATCACTTGTCCCTAGTTACGGGCTACGTCAAGCATAGATTTTAGCTGACCCTTGAAAAAGTGGGTCTGATGAGTGAGCCTCTGAGAGCAATTTAAATACACTGTACAAACTGCCCTGCTTTATAGGGAGTAAATACCATCTGCTGGGTTTTTTTTTTTCCTTCCTATTTGTAGCAGAGGACCCACCAATGTTGTGTTTATTTGTTTTACTTTCCAACTTAAACAACATCGTAATTGTTGAAATGTTTTGAATTAAGTGATATGCTCTTTGTTGTTTTTCTTTTTTTCTTAATCTTGGAACAGGCCTTGTGGGTTTAATATGTTTTAAGATATTCTCATGGAGTATAGCACATTAACAAAAATAAAACCTGTAAAAAACCCCAGAATCTTAAAAGCAGAAAATCATCACTTCTAGGGATGGAACATGTTATTATGCATCGATCTTTTTTTTAAGAACCTGGAGACAAAAGATTCTGCTCTGTCAGTTTCTATCTAACTAAGTCATTAATAGCATTTCTGTCTTGCAATATAAAGCCGTGAGTGAGTGCCATCTCAGAAATGAAAAGAAAGCAGACAAAGGCATGTCTATAATAGAGTAAATGACTCTTAAAAATTGCCTCTACACCAAGGAATCAAAAATTGTTAGTGAAATACACAGCCCTTGAAGGAAGCTTCATTACAGTATATAAGATGAGGTTATAGAAACTGACATTATTTAGTTGGAAGAAAGAACGTAATACTTTTTTAGTCCATGAGCAGATTTTACTTTGATCAAGAAGACGCCTGCAGCTTCTTGCTCAAAGCTATCCTGCACTCGGCTTTGTTATGAC